GATTACTTGTTAATGCTGCATTTTATTCTTGTTCCACTTGTTTACTCTGTGCAACTTGTTTTGTGCAGCTTGGACAAAAGAGTATCACATCGAGTCGGTCAGACTGGGTTCTGATTATTGCCATTCCATTGTTATACTGAACCCGAAGAATCAACATGACTCTCCAGAGCTCTTTCCTGCTTATAACCTATTCTCAAGAACTTGTAGATGGACAACCTGTGTTTGCTTCTTCAAATGGACTTCCAGTTAAAGCGAAAAAGTATGAACCTGCAGGACATTGTTTCCATGCTGCTGCACTTAAACTCCTTGGACACGAGGAGGAGGTTGTGGAGAGTAAAGATGATACAGTTTCCAATGACAAGGAGCAGATCCACATGCCATCATCTGAATCTTACAGTAGTAGCAAAGGGAAAAAGAAAGGATCTGGAGACAAGCAACAGGATCACTATGCCTTGTTAGGGTTGAGTCATCTAAGGTACCTTGCCACAGAAGAGCAAATTCGAAAAAGTTACCGTGAGGTTGCTCTGAAGTATCATCCTGACAAACAAGCGTCACTTCTTCTCGCGGAAGAGACTGAGGCTGGCAAACAAGCTAAAAAAGATGAAATTGAAACTCATTTCAAAGCCATTCAAGAAGCTTATGAAGCTCTAATGGACCCTGTGAAGAGGAGAATTTATGACTCCACTGATGAGTTTGATGATGAAATACCAACCGATTGTGCGCCTCAGGACTTCTTTAAAGTGTTTGGCCCTGCATTTGTGAGAAATGGTCGTTGGTCTGTTACCCAGCCAGTACCACCATTGGGCGATGATAACAGTCCTATAAAAGAAGTGGACAGCTTTTATGATTTTTGGTATGGCTTCAAAAGCTGGAGGGAATTTCCTAATGATGATGAATTTGATGTAGAGCAAGCTGAATCTCGTGACCATAAGAGATGGATGGAGAGGCAGAATGCAAAGCTCTCGGAAAAGGCTAGAAAGGAAGAATATGTTCGTGTCCGTGCCCTTGTCGACAATGCCTATCGGAGAGACCCAAGAATAGCAAGGAGAAAGGAAGAGGAGAAAGCCGAGAAGCAGAGGAAAAAGGAGGCAAAGTATTTAGCCAAAAAATTGCAGGATGAAGAAGCTGCAAGAGCTGCTGAAGAAGAGAAACGGAGAAAGGAAGAGGAAGGGAAGCGTGCTGCTGAAGCTGCTTCACAACAGAAGAAGATTAAAGAGAAGGAGAAGAAGCTTTTGAGGAAAGAACGCACTCGCCTCCGTACCCTTTCAGCATCAATTGTGTCGGATCGTTTGCTTGGTCTCCGTGAAGATGATGTAGAAAATATTTGCATGTCATTCGATATTGAGCAAATGAGGAGTTTATGTGAAAATATGGAAGGTAAAGCATCAGTAGAGCAAAAAGCTAAACTGTTGAGAAATGCTTGTGGTGGAGGTGATGAGGATGTGGAGGAGATTCGCAAGAAGGAAGATGAAAAGAAGAGGATGCCACAGCAAAATGGCTCTACTACATCTAACGGGGGTCCTCATACCAGCAACAGTTCTTCAAGCAGCAGGAAAGAAAAGCCTTGGGGTAGAGAAGAGATCGAGCTTCTGAGGAAGGGAATGCAAAAATATCCTAAGGGCACATCCCGGCGTTGGGAGGTTATCTCAGAGTATATTGGGACAGGAAGATCTGTGGAAGAAATTATCAAGGCGACGAAAACGGTCCTCCTACAAAAGCCCGACTCTGCCAAAGCTTTCGATTCCTTTCTGGAGAAGAGGAAACCTGGCCCAACCATTGCTTCTCCGCTTACAACTAGGGAGGAAGCGGGGGGTTTGGTAATCAATCCTCAGGAATCTGAAGTCAATACAACTACGATGGTGGATACTAAACCTGAAGACTCTCTGAGTGCGGGGAGTTTGGAAACCCCAAAAGCTGATGATGGAAGTAATGATGGGAATGCAGCAGCTTCATCTTCTTCTTCTTCTTCAGATCAGGATGTATGGTCTGCTGTACAGGAGAGGGCTCTTGTTCAAGCTCTTAAAACTTTTCCCAAGGAGATCAATCAACGCTGGGAAAGAGTTGCAGCAGCAGTACCTGGAAAGACTGTGAACCAGTGCAAGAAGAAATTTGCTCTGTTGAAGGAGAGCTTTCGAAGCAAGAAAAGTGCAGTCTAAGTTTCCGACGACGGGGTTATGAATATGATCGCGGAGTCATGACTTACTATCATCGAGGGTCCAGGATCCATCTGCATTACTTGTTGAACCGTTCATTCCCCCAATCCATAGAGCCAATCTTATATGTGAGTTAGAGCAATTTTTCGACCTATTGTTAACTTTTGATGTCAGGCAACAGCACCCTTCGTTATTATTCAATATTTTCCAGACACCATATGGAAAGATTTTGGTCACAGTAAAGGAATATATGTCACATGGTTCCTTGACTGTCATGATCGTTACCTTGCAGGTTATTAGCCTCTACAGGTGAGTTGTTCATTACTTCTCTGAATCCTTTATAAGCAGTTTGCACGGATTATTGCTATATTATTATCGTACTAGATTATGATAAACTGTCGTTTGTGTTGAACTTGTAACACCAGCAGCAAGAAGTGAATCGTGTGTGTCCTAGACTTGTAGAGCTACTGGTAGTTTGTTATTTTGTAGGGAGATTTTTGGTTCTTTTTAATGTCCCCTTTTTTTTTGTTGCCGCTCTTCAGTGTTATTTTTCAATGTCTTCTGGGTATCCTGGTCCTTGTGCCCTAGACGAAATACATAGCCTTTTGAAAGTAAGTTATTATTGTATTACTGTTGGTGGAAGTTTGAACATGTCTTGCTAGACGCCAGCTTCTTTTGTGCAGAGAATGCTTCCTTTGCTCTTGTTTCTACTCCTTCCACGCATATAAAGTTGTCAAGTTCGAGGGGCATATTCTTGTTCTTGACCTTAGGTATCACCAGAATCTTTCTGCTGAACTGCACCCCATTTACAGCTTGAAAATTCCCCTCTGATCACATTCTTTAAGCCATGCTATGGAACAGGGGTTTGATTACCGATTCTACTATTCAGTAAGGTCTCTACTCTCCATTGGCATAACGTCAGTCACTTCATCACTCAAGGGTTCTCTTTTATTTTTTTTCTGTCACAATTGTATTCCTCGAGACCACCTGTAGCAGCAAAAGCTTGTTTCACGGTTCGTAAGGTTGTTTTTGTTGGGAGCTTCTGTCATCCATGTTTGACCTGTACACCACTTTTGAGGGGACAATGTTTAGATGTTACCTTGAAAGTCATGGCAGGGTTCATTCCTCTTTCGACGAGATCTACCCTGAGCGTATCTCCGACATGTAGGCCATTCTCCTTCACAAGTTCGGTCCAGCCGCTTGCAATGTAAGTAATGTTGTTCGAGCTTGTTTCCACCGTCACCAGCCAATCTCCTCCTTTCTCATTTGTTAGGATCAGAGTCCGAGACCCGCCATACAGACCACTGTACCGAGCTAAATCATCTGGGATTCTCTGCAGCCAAACATTCATCATGTAGCAAGTTCCCAGCTGTTAGTTCAGTGCATCTACAACTGGGTATAGCACATACTTACCAAGGAAATTCCTCGTAGAAACTGGTTGGTTATAGTAAGCATGAAATGCGAATCCGACATCTTCGAAAACCCTGCAGCTGGTGAGTCTTGATCACGGAAAGGCTCTGTCTTAACATCCTTCACATTCTTCCTTTTCTCCTTTCGTGCCTTGTCTCTGTACTCCCTTTCCAGCATTGGATTAGCATGCAGCCCTTCACACCATACATTAGGAATCAGCCAAGGCTCAATCTCAGTTATCATGGACAAAGTGGTAAGAAAGTAAGAACCCACCGGACATTCTAAGGGCGAGCTTCTGACCGCCTTGAACAAGTTCAAGATTGAAGGTGTCACCCAGCTTCAGTTCATATTCCTTCTGGATAACTCTCCAACCTCGTTCGATGTAAGTAGTGCGAGTGGAGTTACCGTAGTAATTAATCCCTACTGGCCACGATCTACCCTCTTCGTCCAACACAACCGCATCAGTAGTGTGCGCAGCATCCAGGCCATTCATCTTCGAAAATGACTTAGGTACAATCTGCTCAAAAATTGCAGATTTGCCCATAAAAAAATTGCAGATTGGAATGTCCAGACAACTATAGTCATAAACCATCACCAGATGAACTCAACACTAAAGCATTTTAGATACTGACCACTCTGCCCCTTTTTAGACTGTCAAGCTTTATAGATACCACAAAGTAGGGTTTCTTAGCCTCAGAAGGGCCATCTTTCACAATCTTCTCCCTTGATGTTCCTGAAATATTATCCACTGACCCTTTAAGAAAAGGCAAACACACAGATAAGAAATGGCAGTTTCATGCTTATCAGAAGCCTAAATAGTAAAGAACCCATCAATAGAACACACTTCCTGTTCATCAATGAGCTCATTTCAAGACACGAGATAATAGTACTTACTACTATGGAGCCCTGTTTCAGGTTCTGGTACATCAGCAGCACAAGGCAATGGCTTTTTTTCTTCTTCTTCTTCTTGCACCTCCTCTGTTTTGGCATCAAGTTGTTGGCGGCGGTATGGCCTCTCACAGGCATTCGGGTCAAAGATCATCACATCGAACACCATGGGAGCATCAACAAGTCTAAAAACCACCACATCACCCACATGCAAATCATGGTCGTCAACAAATTCCTTCCACCCGTCTTCGAATTCTCTTCCTTTCCCCATCTTCACTCTGTAAATTTCCCCACCAGGGCTTCTCAGAACAGCATCTTCCTCGCCCACTTCCCTTACCTTTAGGTACTTGTTGTCAAACCCTACTGGAATCGACTGCTTGAGAGCAAGCAATATCAATGCATTACAAACCATGATCCAATAAAGAGAGAAAGGAGGGGGAGAAAAGAAAAAAAAGGGTACGTACAAAGTGATTGTGGAAGCCTGGAAGGAGGGGCTGGAAGAAATGGGGAAGACTACTGATCATTCTGCTGCTGCTGCCTTGTTCCGCCATGGATTTTTTCTTTGATGCATGCTTTCTGGTTGATGGTTCCTTTGTTCTATATACTGGTTACCCTCCGGTACTGAATTCACTTTGCTTCTCCCTCTTTGCCCTTCTTTTCATGCATGAAATGAAATTCCCAAGGGAGACATGATGAAGACAGGGCGGCGCGCGCATGTGTTCTTGTTGGGTTCATGGAGTTTGGTGATTGCAATTGTTCTGTTTTAAGTCTCCTATTGTCTCTCATTTCGTGAGTTTGTTGTTGAAGTAACATTTCTCTTTCAATTACGAAGATTGTTATGTACGAGGGCAGATTCTTGTTCTTGGCATTATGATTTATGTGATCACTTTCCTAATCCTCATGTTATAGCCTTAGAGAGGCCCAAGGGTCTCCTGCAGAAAAAGATGTTTTGATTACAGTTTCCTTCAGGAAGAACTTGTTCTTCGTTTCCATTCACATTTCATTACACTACATAGTTAAGAGTACATAAAGGTCTTTACTTCTGATACAGACTGGGATCTCCATTACTGGCTGAAACCGAGCTTGTTCGAGATGAAAGACCGTGATTAGTGCACCAGACTTAGTTCTATATACACAAAAACAAGGGATCAGGATTCAGAGCAGCCGCTCTATGACTTAGTTACTTCTTCATCTTCAATCAAGGCTTCTCTTCTTTTGGCACAGTTGTATTCCTCGAAACCACCTGCAAAGTAAGCTTGTTTCAGAACTAAGGTTCAAGTTTCTTTTTTCGGTTCTTAAGTGATGTCGACTCCAATGCTTGAACCGAGTGCAGGGTGGATTAGAACTGTGTCATCCACATTACCATTACGCCACTGTGAGGTTCAAGATGAAAGGACAGTGGTCAGTTGTTACCTTGAAAGTCGTGACAGGATTCATTCCTCTTTCAAGGAGTTGCACCCTCAGGCTATCTCCAATGCTGAGCCCATTCTCCTTCACCAGTTGGGTCCATCCACTTGCAATGTAAGTGATGCCATTGGTGCTTGTATTCACCATCACCTGCCAATCACCTCCATTCTCATTCCTGAGGACTAGCGTCCGAGATCGGCCATATAGACCACTGTACCGGGCTAACTCTTCCGGGATCCTCTGCAGGCGAACATTCATTATGTACCAAGTTCCCAGTTGTTACTTTTGCTCATCTAAAATTGCTAGAGTTCATACATGATGCTTATTACTTACCAGGCAAATCCCTCCCAGAAAACGGCTAGATACAGTAAGCATGAAATGGGCATCTGCCGTCTTTGAAAACCCTGCAGCTGGTGAGTCTTGATCATAATCTGGCTCCGTCTTAACCTCCTCCACAATCTTCCTTGACTCCTTTCCTACCTTCTCTCTGTAGACCTTTTCGAGCATTCGATTTTGATGCAGTCCTTCACGACTCACGAATCGGTCAAGGCTCAATTTCAGATATCATGTAGAAGTGGGAATAGCAATCTAGTTAGCATGAATGAACAATGAAGAGACAAGGGGAGAACCCACCTGACATTTGTAGGACTGGCTTCTGACCACCTTGAACAAGTTCAAGACTGAAGGTGTCTCCCAGCTTCAGCTCATTTTCCATTTGGAAAACCCTCCAGCCTCGCATGATGTAAGCAGTGAAATAGGGTTTACGGTAGCAGTTAATCCTTACCGGCCACGATCTACCCTCTTCGTTCAGAACAACTGCCTCAGTGTTCGTAACATTCAGCCCATTCATCTTGGCAAAGTACCCAGGTAAATGCTGCTTACAAATGCAAACCTTGAATGTCTAAAGAACTGTAGTCTTACAATCCAAAAGTCTAAACTAAAAGCGTTTTAGGTACTAACCAGTCTGCCCCTCTTGAGATTGTCAGGCTGTATGGATACCACAAAGTAGGGTTTTTTAGGCTCAGAAGGACCATCTTTCCCAACTGCAATCTTCTCCATTGGTGTTCCTGAACCATTTTCAAGAAAATAAAGGCAACACCAAGATAAGCAAATCAGAAACCTAAATAGAAGATAATCATCCATCAACAAAAATACACCCTCTTTCAGGAATTCTGATTCTAAACCGCAATTTTCACCCATTCAAGTCATAGGACAACAATACTTACCATTATGAAGTCCTGATGCAGGTTCTGGTACATCAGCAGCAACTGGCAGTGGTCTTTTTTCTTCTGCTTCTTCTTGCACTTCCTCTGTCTTCACATCAACTTTTGGGGGAAAGTAAGGTTTCTCACAGGCACTTGAGTCAAAAACCAGGACATCAAACACCATGGGAGCATCAACAAGTCTAAATACCATTACATCACCCACATGCAAATTGTGGTCATGAACAAATTCCTTCCACCCATCTTTGAACTCTCTTCCTTTTCCCATCTTCACTCTGTAGATTCTCCCACCAGGGCTTCTCAGCACAGCATTCTCTTCATCCACTTCCCTTCCTTCTAAGTACTTGCCAAATCCAACTGGAATCGACTGCTTGAGAGCATGCAATTAATATTCATGCATTATCAATCATGATCCAATGAACAGACAAAGATAGAGAGGGAAAAGGAAAGGGTTGTCGTACAAAGTGGTCGTGGAATCCTGGAAGGAGTGGCTGGAAGAAATGGGGATGACTGTTGAACATTCTTTTGCTGCCTTGTTCTGCCATGAATGAGTTTTCTTTTTGCCCTTGCTGCATGCTTTCTGGCTGATGGTTTGCTTGTTCTACCTACTGTTCACACTTCACTTTGCTCCTCCCTCTTTTCCCTTCTTTTCATGCATGAAAAGGAACTCTCAAGAGGGAAATGGTGAAGACTGAGCAGTGTGTGTGCATTTTGTTGTTGGTTTTGATGGAGTCTGGTTATGTAACTTGTTTTGAAACCGTAGTTTAACAATGATTCAATCATTTGATATCACTAAAATTGTTCATAGATATAGGATTCGGTATACAATTTTTCCCATCGAATTGACGGTATAAAACAATTTTGCAAACACTATTAAGTATCGGCGACAAAAAGACGCACAAACTCATTGCAAGCTAATTACAACATTCAAATAGATTCATCATGCGTAAATCACATGGATAAATTCTTATATTTTCATGGGGATGATGAGCCCCCACACTGGCTCTACAACAACACAATGACAGCTAGTGTCTCCCTGACTGTTTAAATCAGCATTCCTCATCGGATTGAACATGCACATCGCAGCCTTGCATGGCCTTACAAGTACAAAGTTAGATGTTACAACAACACAGCTATATTTCAGTTTACATTACAGTGCTTCCTCCTTGGTAGAAACCCATCATGAACATGTAAACCATGCAGCCATTTTCAGTTACAGCAGCTCTAGTTAGAGGTTTAAGTTGAGCTGATCACCTTGAAATTCATGACAGGGTTCGATCCTGATTCGACGAGTTCAAACCTCACGACATCTCCCATTCTAAGTTGGTTGCTCGCCACCACGTCCCTCCATCCACTTCCAATGTAAGGTCTACCAGCTTGGGTTGTCTTCAACGATACAAGAAAGGGAGCTCCCGCAGCGTTGGCAAGGAGCATGCTAACTGATATCCCATGTAAGCCATTCTTTATGGCAAACTCCTGAGGTAAATTCTGCAGACAATAATGTGGAGGAGATTAACAATCAACCCGCTGTTGGCCATTACAAACTGGGATGATGAACTAACAAAATATGTTAACTGACCAGAAAGCCTCCTTTCAAGTAACCTTCTGTTAATTTGACTGTAAAATATGAATTCCCATCTTTGGAAGATTCAGCTGCTGCTGATTCTTTATGAACTGGCTCCTTTACCTCCTTCTCCATAATCTTCGTGTACATCTTATGAATTGGATCTAGTTTTTCACATAGACAAATCAGAGAAATTGAAATGCTAAAGCTATCAAGAATAGTGCAAATTCATTTTTCGACATCTTCCAACAAGTCAAAGTTATTGGGTTGTATTAGTTTCTTGATATGGAATCGGGACATTAAATAACCAAATGTTTTGTGTCTAAACTGTTGATTTAAATGTCTAAACAGTTGATTTAAACACATAGTACAATGAAGTTGTGCAAACTTCAAACGAATCTGTTGGTTTTAATTTGAAGAAAAAACATGTAAAAAAACTATAGGTATAAGATCAATTCTTGAACATTATTCAATAAATTCAAGGTATTGGAATCAACTGGATAAAATGAGATTTTTAAGTAGCAAAAATGAGTAAACAAAGATTTGACATGTAAGAGCTTCAAACACTATTGATGAGAACCCACCAGGTAATTTGAATGCAGGCTTCTGTCCATCTTGAACAACTTCAACATCCACACTATCGCTTGAAGACACTCCAGCAGCAGCTGGTAACTCTTCAAGAACCGGCTCCTTATTTATGTCCTTCTCCATCCTCCTCATACCAAAACCTTTTGGCAAATTCAACGGGGAGAAGTCAAAAGCTTAAACATCAACAAGAACATGGAATTATCAACTGATGGTTTGTTTCAAGTAAGAGATGTGATAGCATAAACCAGAAAGCCTCCTTTCAAACAACCTCCTGGTAAATTGATTGTAGGATATGAACTGCCATCTTTTGAAGATGCTGATTCTTCATGAACCGGCTCTTGCTTCACCTTCAGAATCTCATCAGTATCCTTTGGATCTGGATGTAGTTCTTCAAAGAGACAGATCAGAGTAATTAAAATGATAAAATCTATGAAGAATTGTGCAAATACAATTTTCAACATCTTCTAACAAATCAAGGTCATTGGGCTGTATTGGTTTGTGACATTGATATCATAAAACTGGATGTCTAATGATGATAACCCACCAGACACAATGTAGGCAGGATTCAGTACTTCTTGAACAACTTCAGTATTCACATTATCTCTTGAAGACACTGCAGGAGCAGCTGCTATTGATCCTTCATGAACTAGCTCCATCTTGACCTCCTTCTCCATCCTCCTCATCCCAAAACCTTCCACGATGCCAATGGGGAAGAGATCAAAAGCTTGAAAAACCAACAAGAGCAAGGAACCAAATGGTGGCTTGCGCTTAAAGACAGATTTGTAACAGCATATAACCATATGGAGAAAACCCACCAGACATTCTGAAGACGGGCTTCATCGAGCCTTGAACAAGCTCAAATTTGAGACTATCACCCATCTCTAAGCCATTTTTCTTCTGGAATTCCCTCCAACGATCCCCCATATGAACTAAATTAGTGGCGTTCGGGTAGCTAAGATACCTAGCTGGCCATGGCCTTCCTTCCTCATCCATAACAATGGTCTCAAAAGACTTACCCGCCAGACCATTTTCCCTCGCAAACTTGATCGGGATATACTGCTCAAATAATATGCCACTCATATGTCATTTACCCTATTCAACAACAGAATGAAATTCACAAAGCGCCATATTATACCAACCACTCTATGATTGCTTAAAGTGTTGGTCCCTGCAGTGAACTCAAAGAAGGGACTGTTTGGGAAACCAGACCCAGCTTTCTCTGCTCCAATGCTTGCCTTATCTCCAATATTTTCCTCTCTGGGTGTTCCTGAAGAAACCATTCCATCCACACGAAACCGTTAAATTCACTCGAAATCTCACATACCCAGTTCAGCAAAAGCCACAAAAAGAGAAGGGTTTTCTCAAACTAGATCTAAAGGCGAAAACTTTATTACTTACTAAAATGAAAACCGTCATCTTTGGTCTCTTCAACGGCAGGAATTTGAGTTTCTTCAACCTCTATTTCCACAAAGACGTTTCCAGCTGCTGCAGGAATTTGGTTCTGTTTCGCTGAAACAGAGGAGACCTGCTGGTACCGCCTCTCACAGACAGTTGGGTCGAACACCATTACATGAAACTCCATCTCGCCGTCGAGCCTAAACACCAGGAAATCTCCCACGTGCAAATCGTGCTCCTCCACGAATTCCTTCCAGCCATCTTTGAATGCTCTGCCACTCACTCTCACCGCGTGGAACTTCCCGCGGCGGGTTCTTAGAACGACGGCCTGGTCAGCACCACGTTTCTTCTTCCCTCCGTTGAAGTAGTTTTTGTAAAAGGCTTCTGGCATCGACTTGAGTCCATAACAAATAACAGAAGAAGAAGGTGAAAGTTTTGATTAGTTCTCTTTAGCTGGAGAATCCATAAACAGGAATGTGACCAATAGAGAAGGAGGGGAGCTTACGAATTGAAGCTCGAAACCTGGAAGTAGTGGCTGGAAGAAGTGCGGCTTGCTGGGAATCATTCTGCCCTGTTTTTTTTATTTCCTCCTCTGTTTTCTGTTTAACTATGCTGTGGAGTGTTTTGTGAAAAGGAAACTTTGCTGGGGAGTGGGGATCATTCATCAGTGGTCTTCTTGACTATTTATTTATTACTCACTAGAGTCACCACTATCGTTTTCTGGTTCTCTATCTGTTTTCTATTCTTTCCATGCATACTTTTAATGTAAAGCAAACGAGAAATGACTGATGAGCAATGACCCATCTCCCGTACTCTGTAGCCTTGACAAAGTGGCTTTTTTTTAAAAAAATGTTTGGTACTTTCTACAAGGGAGAAAAATACT